GAGTGTATCCATCATCATGGAAGTCTGCCGCAGTACAACCCATTCCAAAGAAAGGAAAAAAGACAGATCCGTTAAACTATAGACCAATTGCTCTACTTCCGGTGATATCAAAAGTAATGGAAAGAGTTGTGAACAATCACCTAACCAAGTACTTGGAAAAGTACAAAATTATCAACGATAAGCAATACGGATTTCGAAAATATAGGTCAACTGGCGATTTACTTACATACGTCACTCACTTATGGCAAAAAGCGATTGAGTTGCGGGGTGAAACAAGAACAATTGCCTTAGATATATCTAAAGCATTCGACAAAGTTTGGCATGAAAATCTGCTCAACAAGCTCAAAGCAATGGGATTATCGCCGAAACTTTGCACTTGGTTTGAAAGTTACCTAAAGGACAGATCCATTTATGTTGCACTGGATGGCCAGAACTCCAACTCTTACCAAATAAATGCTGGTGTGCCACAGGGAGCAATCCTTTCGCCAACTCTTTTTCTGATTTACATAAATGACCTCATAGATAAAACAGTAAATCCACTTTATTGCTTTGCAGACGATGGCAATGTAGTCTCCTCACTCATACCACCGACAGGTCTTTCCGCACGTGAATTCCATCATCTTAGACTAACTCAAATATCGCAGATAAATAACGACCTGGAGATAATAGAGGACTGGGGTAACAAAAACCTTGTACAGTTCAACGCGCAGAAAACCCAAGCAGCTCTGTTTTCAAAAAAGACCAGCACCGGTGAGCCAAACATCATGCTATCTGGAAGTGCTGTCACATTACAGAGTCAGTTGAACATCTTGGGGGTTACTGCAGAGACCAACATGTCTTGGCACAGTCACGTGGCAGATATTGCTAAAAGGGCCTCCCAAAAGCTGGGGGTGCTATTTCGTACAAGACATCTGTACACACCAAGCCAATTGCTGACACTCTACAAAGCCCAGATTCGACCAACTATGGAGTACTGCTCACATATATGGAGTGCAGCACCCAAACATACCTTAATGCTTTTGAATACCGTGCAAAAACGAGCTATCAAGCTGATCAATGACCCCGCACTTACTCGTAACTTGGATGGTCTCGAACATCGCAGAACGGTGGGCGATTTATCTCTCTTCTACAGGTACTATCACGGAAAATGCTCTGAAGAGTTGGCACGTATGATTCCACCGAGAGTAGCACCTACCAGGCGAACACGTCAAACAGACGGTAACCATGAATTTACTGTCAAACTAGAGGCACCAAGAACCTCATTATATCAGAATTCATATCTCTGGAGAACAGCATCGCTGTGGAATAAACTCCCTACGACGGTTTTCCCTGCAGGTTACAACCTGAACCGTTTCAAGACCAACATACACCGACATTTCCGCGCACTTGCCGCTTCTCGAGCGTGATAGGACATTTCCTTGCGAGTGCGCATATCCGTAAAAAAAAAAAAAAAAAAAGAAAATCTGTCTAGATGTCTCTGTACTAAACCACTTTAACACAAGCAGTCTATCGACTGGTTAGAGATAAATTCAGAATCAACACTCAACTGGAACGCAATAGGCGAATTGAAAAGAGCATACGAATATAAGACTATATCATCGAGAAAAAACTAGAGCCAACAGAAAACCTAAGAGAATTAAACCTAGAAGATCTCTCAAAGAAAATAACAGGTACTATTCAAACAGGAAAAAAGGCTGTTTACTATAAAGGCTGTTTGCTATAGAAATAAAAATAGACACAAAAATTAGTGAAGAAACCAACACACTCATTGAGCTATGTAGAAAAACAGATAGAAAATCTCCAACATATGAGGGGCTAAATAAAAGAGTCAAGAAAGAAATCATGAAAGACCTAAGAAGATACCACACTCGACAAATTGAAAAATTGATCGAAAATGACATGAACATGATGGTGCTTAAATCTAAAAGAAACAGAGAAAAACTCCTAATCCAGAAATTAAGAAATGGCCGAGAAAATCTTGTAATATGAAAGTAACGATATCGCTAAAGTAATACAGGCTTTCTACCAAGATTTATATAATCAAACTATACAACCACCAATAGCCGACATAAGAAGACACACACACCCCGTCATAAATGCTGAATCCGAAGAAATACCTGAAATATGTACCAGTGAGTTAAGAACCGCAATAGGACAGGAATTACGAGCAAGATGCTTAAAATCGGAGGGAAGACATTGGAAAAAGCCATCCTCATTATACTAAATAAATGTCTATAAGAAGAAAAAATCCCTGAAACCTGATGGCAAAACGCCGAAGTTACTATTATATTCAAGAAGGGAGATGCTACTAACCTGGAGAATTACCGCCCTATTAGTTTGTTGTCTATCTTATATAAGCTGCTGACGAAAATATTTACAAATAGACTAAATGCCAAGTTTGATTTCTACCAGCCAGTTGAACAAGCAGGTTTTCGGAAAGACTTCAGCACGATTGATTACTGAGACTGATTTTTGGAATAAAAATCAACAAAATTATGGATGAAAACTTCCCTTATCCTTAATTTTAGCATGTTCAATATAACTTACAATCTTTATACATTTTCTTCAATCACATTTGGTCGAAAGGCAGCGTAGATCCAGGAGCACTCGAGTTCTGTTGGTTGGAAACCCTCCTATATCGTACATTTTCTTGCATCGGGATCCAGAATTCCCCACATGGCTTCAACTACCATTGTAAAAGTTGAATTTAGGACTGGATTGAGATTGGAATTGACTTTAATTCAATCAAATTGTGCGGAACACATAATTTCAGAAAAATTGCAAATATGTGCGTGGAAATTTAATGGCCTGATGAGCTGGCAGTTATTCTGAGTCTAGCTTCAAAGGTTTATGTGATATTCTAGAACTCCGCCAAAATCAGATCGACTGTTTCAGGCCACGTTCAGAGAACAAAGTAAGTAATACGAACCTTGATCGAGAAGTGTACCTACATACAGAATACATTTCTTTATATCTGGCTTTTGTCGATAAGTAAAGATCGACGATGAACTGACCACTGAGAAAATTTTATCAAATAGAGGAGTCAGGCAGGGTTACACGCTCTCCTAAGCTGTTTACACTGGCCCTAGAGGGCATATTTAAAAAGTTACCATGGCAGGACAAGGGTATCTCAATTGACGGAAACACTTTAACCATCTGAGATTTGCAGACGATATTGTGATCAGCAGTAATGACTCATTGAATTATCCATCGTGATAAAGGAACTACAACAAACATCCAAAGCAGTAGGACTGACAATGAATATCCGGAAAACCAAAATAATGAGCACAGACAATGTCGACGTAACTATTAAATATCAGACTCTCGAAGTGGTGAACGAATATAACTATCTCGGCCATATTTATTACCGGATTTGACACGAAAAACAAGCTTCCAAGCGGATTTTCTTGAAAATGTTAGAAACTTCTATAGAACACTATTCAAAAACTGTGAGTGATACAAGAATACTAGCTTTATTCCAAGAGAAAAAAAAATGGAAGTATGATTTTAGTTGTTAATCTACATAATTGTTGGATAACTGTCAGTATCATGTGATTGTAATTGTGAATGTTGTTCTTGCTTTCAGCATTGATAAAGAATGAATACAAAATCGAAACGTCGGCGAATTTGTAAACAAGGAAGTTTTATTCCACTTCGTCCTTTTAACACACAACTTCTCTCTATCCTAATTAGGTTTTATCACTTTCAAAGAGACCAAGGACTTTGTTTTAGTAGTCCTAAAGCAAAAATGTTTTTCTCTGTTGAATATCTGCGTTCTTTTGGTGCAACTTTTTGCCTTTTTAACTGACTCATGATTGAGTTAAATCACTGTTTATTCAGCTTGGTTTGGATAAAAACTCTTGTTCCTGCAAACTTATTTCTACTTTGAAATCTGCACCCCTACGTCCAATTAAACGGCTAGTTTTGTCAAAATGAAAGTTGCATACTCCATAATTGGTCCGTACATTGGTTTTATCAAGAAGAGTTTTTGGTTACTAACGTTTTGCAGCCATATATCAAACACCTAAATAGAGAGAAAATTAACAGCAATACACAATATGTATAATAATATCCTGTATAAAACCCCAAATACCTATGCCTTTTTTCTTCATGAAGCCGGCATAGGCGGCATAGGACGGCTTAGGACTTTTAGTATGTTGTTCACTGCACTAAATAGAATATCTCTACCAAGTTTCAGATTTACATCATTGTTTTCTGGGTCAAACCCTCGGTCAAACGTTAATATGACTGGCCTACATAATGTAATATATTTTTCCTACGAGCGTGCGCAAAGTAGTACTTTTCCGCACGCATTTCCGGGCTCAAAGTTACACTTTTCCGCACTCAATGCGGATACAGGCCTTATCCGCACTTATATAAACACCAAATATAATTTAACTTTGACACATTGTCAGATTTGTTCTCTATTTATATGCAAAAATCTACAAACTTTCTCATCAAATTTAGACGCTTTATAAGATGAACAGCTCTGATGAGGATTTTCTGTTATTTTCTGTTATTTTCTGCTATTTTCTGTTATTTTTTGTTATGTAATTTTTTGATAAATGCATAGGTTCCCTTCAAGTTAATTAAAAATAATTAAACAAATTATCGTTTAATTTTCAAATTTTTATTGTTATTGTTATTACCTACCTGATATGAAGCTCGTAGAAAAAATGTTGTTCCTAACACGTGCGCAAAGTGTCTTTTCCGCACGCAAACACAGTTATACGAACGACGCGAAGCGGAAAAGTAACACTTTGCGCACTTGTTAGGAAAATAACTATTTCCTACGACCACATATGAAAATGACAAAATCCGCACTAGCTGGTTCTTTGGAAAGCGCTAAATATCACACGCGTGCTGAAAGTACTTTCAATACGCATTCTAAAAGTACTTTCAGCATACGTGTGAAAAATACTGTTGACATTATTTGTGATTGACATCACAATTTACTTTCAATACGTGTGTTGAAAGTACTTTCAGCACGTGTGTTGAAAATGAAAAGAAATAAAATAAGAGAAAATTGGTTTAAATCGGTTTCTGGTAGTAGGAAAAATAGTGTACCTACATCACTTGTGAGAAAGCGTCTTTCATACACTCGTGTGAAATTTGTCACTTTCTACACTCGTAATGTGATAAACTATTGCAATTTTAGGCGCCTTCAAAATGACATAAGTTCCCTCTCATATGATTCGAGAGATGCCAGAAACGAATTAGAAATTTGCAAACGACAAGTGGAAGATCTAAAAAGGCAGCTGCAACATTATGTGGCCGAAATAAAAAGAACTGAGGACTTGATAACCAATAAGGTGAGACAAGCTTTCGAATCTATAACATGCATCATCCATGGAGTTTTTGTTCCAGGAACTAGAAAGGAATGAATTGCTTGACCAATTCAAGTCTCTTTCTCAGGAAGCCAATGTTTTAGAGAGCAACAACCATACTTTGGAGAGTGAAGCTAACCAGTGTAAAGTTCAACTGTCGGTAGCTCTCGACCATTCAACTGAAATGGAAAGAAGAGTGGAACATCAAGAAAATACGATACGAAGTTACGAAAAACAGGTAAGGAAGAAATTTATCACCTGATGGCTTCACAACATAATTAAATAGACAGTGTGCAGCAATGACCTGCATTGACTCAAAAAACTGGGATCTGCGACCGGGTACTAATACTTTTCCAAATACTAGAACAATATTTCCATGAAGGAGTAATAACAAAAAATTCAGGCTGTATTATGAATCCACCATCTATTCATTCGTTTAGGGGGTAGTTGTTAGTCCATTCAACATTCAAACGATGCAAGTTTCTCTGAGCACATCCAATCTTAAACTAGATTTGAATTGAATACTCTATTAAATCTAAAGAAAAATTCTTAATTGTATTTTTTTTCCAGATTGCTGATTTGTCAGCTCAAGTTGCCAGACTCGAAGTACAACTGAAACAAACTACCAGAGAACAAGAACAGTGCAACACTGAGATGAAGCAAATGCGAGATCTCTGCCAGAAGTTAGATAAGGATAAAGACACACTTAAAAACGAACTGTACAATAAGGAGGACCGACAATCGCAGGTGATAGTACTTTAATAATTTTTGGTAATATTGTAAAGCTAAATCTAAATAATATATTGTATTCAGAGTCAAAGAGTTACCAATAAGCTCAATGCCGAAATGGCAACTTTACGAGAGGCACTGGAAGAAGAGAAAAGCAGGTTAGAAGGTGTTGAAAAGCTACTCATTGAGGCAAGGAGAGAAACTACAAGTCAGAGGCTGCTTAATCAGGATTTGCAGCACGAAATAAAGGAGTTGCAGCAAACGGTCAGGGACTTGAAAGAAAAACTGTAAGTTTAGGTTTTTGTTAGTAACTATCTAATCTACTAGATATTTTGCAAAGTACAAAAATTGTAGGTATTTATTTTCTCAAAAACTGATTAAACTTATATGTATGTGTGCCTACTTTTCTACTATCTCTTTTTAACTTGGCTACTACAATTGATTGCACTATATGGCTTAGTTATGATGATGTTTCCAGGAATACCACTACGGAACAACTGGATTTGTACAAAGGCAAAGCTTTAGAGTATAGCGAACAAAATAAGCAATTACGCAGGGACATTGCAAATGAGCGATTTTCAAAAAACAGATTTGACGATAAGGGATATTATCCTTCATTATAAACTAATATTTTATTGACAAACCATATGTGGTTGCTGTAAATTTTGTTTTGACTACAATTTAGAATCATCAAAAACAATTTATGTATAAGTTTTAATGTGTGTCATGATAATCTCAAATAATTAGGTATACATATCCGAATATTTGTTATAATATAATTATAACTTACATGCTTCTAAATACAAATTACATTGATATATTTTTGTGACTTGACTAGTTTTAATTGAAATTATTTGTGTATTTTTTATCTTCATTGTTTTTCAATAATAAATATTTTACTTAATTAATCTTTACATTTATTTTTTCTCTAACCTACCTCAAATAAATTAGATACTCTAAACCATATTAGGTAGTACTCAATTATCTAGAAAAAAAGTTTCAGACCTCTCGTACAGCGTACAAATTTTCAGATTATTTTTACAATTTTATAGGCTCAATTGCGAAACAAAATATAAAGACCGCAAATCAAAAGTAGTGAGAACAGAATTATCTGATGGACAAGGTAGTGATCAAATTATACCGGATGGATATAGCAGTCCAACAAAAAGTGATGTTCCGAAAAAAAGAACATCACTTCTTTCTACTAAAACCTTAACACAACATGCCAGGTCTCATGGAGTTTTTGATCTTACTTCATTAGAGACATTGAGTGAACGTAATGCACAAGACGCGAAAGTTAACAGAAAAAATTTGGAAAGATGCGATGAATCTACGCATAAGAAACTGTTGGCCAAGGTTGCAATTGGTCAGCCAATATATTGCCCGGTTTGTAGGGAACTTATCAAACCTCGAAAGAAAGCGGAAATAGAAAAAAGTCCTCAAACTGGATTGCATAATGTTGCCAAAAATGTTGATCAGAAACAAGGTAAGTCTCTGTTGGAAGTTCCTGAAAACTTAAAATTTATTTTTTTAATAGGAACAATTAAAACAACTTCTGAGTCTAGTAAAAATGAAGCTCCAGGTCCTATAAGTTTGGCTTCTGTTAAATCATTAACTTGGGAGGATAAACAATTAATACGAATGAAATCAAAAGGCCAAACTGACTTGACATGCTTCGAAAAAAATGACAATGCACGTGGCGCAAATGGTAGGACTTGTAATTGATTTTTCCTACAGCCGTGCGGAAAAATCGATTTTCCGCACTGATATGCGTGCGGAAAATGAGTTTTCCCGCACCGTGCGGTAAAACTTTTACCGCACGCATATCAGTGCGGAAAAAGTTTTTCCGCATGGCTGTCAGTGCGGAAAAATTTTTACCGCACGGCTGTCAAAAAAAAAAGAGAAAACTTCTACATTTTTACGCCTGTAGGAAAAATATTGTACCTAACACTTGCGGAAAATATTTTTCCTCACTCGGCTGCTTCACCGAACTCCGCTACGCGTCGTTCGGTGAACGGCACCCGCGTGCGGAAAAATTCATTTTCCGCACTTGTTAGGTAAATAGCTATTGTCAACTTAAATAAATATGATTTTATACGAGCATACGGAAAATGTGGAAAATTGCATTTTCCGCACTGTTTTTAGTGCGAAAAATCGATTTTCCCGCACTGCTGTCGAAAACAAAAACCATAAATTACTAAAAATTATGTAGATATACTTACCTATTTCCGCACTCCTATAGAAAAATTGATGTACCTAACAGTTGCCGAAAATATTTTTTCTGCACTCGGCTGCTTCGCCGAACGAAGCGTAGCGGCAGACTCGTGCGGAAAAAATTATTTTCCGCACTTGTTAGGTAAATAGCTATTTCAGGCAAAAATGATAATGCTGATACTAAAGAAGCTCAACCACCCGGATTTAGGGAGGTCAAAAATGTGGGATCGGATCCTTCCATATGGTCTGAATTTAACATGGTAAATGATTATGTGCCAAGAATGAAAACATGCAGGTGTCCAAAATGCGTTTCGGAGATATCTTTGTCAGAGCCAGATATTAGAAGTCCTATAGATACGGCTGCATGCCTAAAAGAAAAATCAAAGCCATCGGATCCAAGTAAGTACATTTCAAGTTATTTGCTGAAAATCACAAAACAAAAATGACTCAACATTAGTTCACGATGATCTCCTTCCTCCTTTGATACTGCTAGAAAGTGAGGCTGCTTCCTAAATAACATAGTTTGAAAAACTACTCTCACGAGTTGGCTTTTTTTGTTTGATATATTTTCAAAAACACTTAATTGTAACTGTCGCGAAGAGAGAGCATTCTTTACATTCTAAACCAAGCTAAAAAAAAATTATTAAGTTTAATTTAATTAGATGATGCCAAAAGAGGAGCATTTTGTAAAAAATCCCAGAACAAGCCGGGCAAAGGAAATAAGGAAGCTAAAAGTCAATTATCAAGCTCTTCTGAAAATACCGAAGTTCAGACAAAGTTTGATCAAAGCTCCGACAGCTCTGCAGTTTTTCACAAAGTGTTTTGTGTTGATGGCGTCGGAATAAAGTGTCACTGTTGTATCTCGAGTTTTAGAAGAAAAGATGATTGATGCTGTGATAGCACCTAATTTTATAATATTTTAAGCTAATAATAAAAAAATAGCTAGGGTACAGCCCACATTAGCTCGGATTATCGAGAGTCTACTCTACTTATTTTTTTTTTTTTAAATATCACACTTGGTTTTTCAAATAATTATGCAGAAAAATAAATCTCCGTGTATGGATAAACCTACTCTATGACTTGCCTTATCAACTTATCCGTTCCAGTTACACCCTTCCTTTATATCAATGGTGGGATTCTAGAAACTGACGTAGAACCAATGGGAGGAAAACAGGATTACATCCAGAGTGGGGATGTGTATTTATTGCAGAATAAGCTTAAATCAAAATGTGTCAAGTTAGCCTTAATTTTATGATTGTCTCTTTCTCTTGTTTTTTAGGGATCAAACATTTCAATTTCCAATTTTGTACAAATTGTAATAAATCACTGTACGACACTGAATGTAGGATAGTGAGGGTAAATTGCCTCATGGAAATTTTGTATAAAAAGGCATGTTGGCTTAAAGTGGGCAGCAGAAAGTTACTCTGCTGGTTTGCACTCCCAATTTATATTTCCAAATTTAATAACTAAATAAAAGATGGAGGGCTACGACTTGCCACGCTTTTTCGCTGATTAAGGAAAGTTTATATAAAAAAAATTTAGAAAAAAAAAAAAATAAATTTAAAAAAAAATTAAAGTCGAAAATAAAAAAAAATAAAAAAAATAAAATAAAAATAATGAAAATAAAAAAAAGTAAAAATAAAAATAAATGAACGAAGAACTTGAGATTGTAAGACTGAAGGTCGAAGTGCGTGCAAATTATGCCCTAGCTCAGAACTAAATAATTCGGAGAGTAGGGGTGGGTTTTAGTTTTGGGCGCCACCGACTCTGAACAGATGAGTCGGACTCTCCAGGATGGTATCTGGCTTCAGGTTCTTAAATTCAAATAATAATTATAAAAAAAAAGAAAAATATTAGCAATAACCAGGCTGTGTGCATAAAACCAAATAAAAGTCAATTCAAATCAAGTGCTACAGTTGTTTATTTATCAAATCCACAATGAAACGATGTGGGCATTGACCTAAAAAAAAATAATAATAATAATCAAGTAAATGAATAATTAATAAAATGCCCTTGTCATGAAGTGTCAACCAACAAATACAGAAATGCTATACTGGTGAAAGAATTACTATAGTCCTGAACAGTTAAATTTAAATGCAAAAATATGTTATTGAAACTCAATAACCCAAATGAATAATAAAAAAAAGGTATAAATAGAAAAGTTGTTAATATAAATTGAAGAGAAAAATAAAAAAAATAAATGAGTAAATAATAAATTGGAGCGGTTATTTTACACTTATGTAACCAGAACTACCAGTAGGTTGACATAAATTCAACAGGTTACGTCTAGTTAAGTTACCTATTTAATAATTCATTCACCACACTGGGGGCAAGCAATGAATTATTCCCTGAAATATCGAGGTGATCACCGTGGTGTACAAATAGGGACAGAATGTAAATAAACAATAATAATCAGGATAACTAAAACTAGTACGATACCGAAATGTTCCAGGTAATGGTTGTTCTTACAATTAACCAGATTAGTCCTGGCTACTGGTTGTGGTTAACTTGGTTGAAGACTCGAGTAACCGTCCAATTACTTAGGCTGGTGTCTGTTAGCCTTTTGGTTCAATTTCGGTTACAATTGAACGTCTATTGGTATAGCCGTGAGGGTAAACTTGATGGTAAAGTACAACCCCTCGCTAAAGAAAACCCTAAGAGAAAAAATTGTTATACACACTGTATCTGTAATTGAACCAATAGCGAAGCACTTCATGAATAAATTGAATTAAAAAAAAAAATGAAACTATAATGATTAGTTTCTAATTTTGGCCTGTTACAGACTACATGCCAGAAAAGCTCTACTTTCCACCTAGACCGTGAGTGGTATAGTATTTTTGATCCGAATTAAAACACCTAAAAAACATTAGTCGGCATACATCAAAGAAATAAAGGACATGGGCGTCACATCATTTTTATTTCTTTAAATGTCGATAATTAATAAATCAAACGAACTTACCTTGTAAGTGACATCGGTCGATTTATATTTCATAAACGCCTCTTCATAGAAATCACCCACCCTCCCTTTTTATTCTACCTGTATAGGCAATTTTTGTTTTTTGTTGTTGGAGCTTTAAACAAGAATGACAATGACGTATCGGACTATGGGTACCATGGCTACATTAGGGTAAGTGATGACAGTACAACTTTTGACTTGCTGCTTTAAAGTTGTGTACCTCCTAGTGACTAGAGAAGGGACTACGTATTGATTTCGTAGAAGAGGCGTGACATAAAGTCAATATCAAACAACACAACACAACTAAATAATAGGTACGTGGGATAAAACAGCAAAAAATACATACTATATAAATTGGGATGACACTGGTTATAGAAATCACGTAGTCAGCCCGGCACCTGCATCCTTCTAGAGGGCATTTATTCATTCCGCACATGTATATGGCACCTAGCACAATCCCATTGGTCAGATTTAAAATTTAAACCAATTAAATTTCGAGTGCCATAGGCGCGTACGGAATGTAAATCAGTGCCATATGCACTCACGGAATGTCATACCTAGTTATTGCAGTAGAAAATTTTGTTAAGCTGACAATGAGTTAAGCCGGAGTCTCGCATGCATCCGTTTTCGGACGAAAGATGTCCGAAAAACCTTATGTTTTGACATACATATTTTCATACGATTATGTCAGAATAGAGGGTTTTTCGGACATCTTTCGTCGGAAAACGGATGCATGAGACTCCGGCTTTAAGCGTCAATTATTCTTCAACTATAGGTATCTATTTTACATAACGTTACAAATATGCGGTGTATCAATCTAAGTTTTGGTGAGCAAAGCAAAGAAAATATACAAAGTATCAGAGCGAAAGCGGAAAGCGTCATTAACTTTATTGGATAATATAACAAAACAAGAAAGCTTTATACAAAATCAATGAAATAGAAGTACCAAATACGCTATTTTTAGAAAGCATGAGATCAAGAACATTCTGCAAGTTGATGGTCATGGTAAATTTGTCAGAGAGACAAATTCTTCCACCTATCGTCTAGCGCCATTTTCAGTCATTAGGTTTGCTCTATATTTTCCAGGACTCTGTTCAAAATATTTATAATTCAAAGGTAGTAACGTTGTCGCAGCATGCATGGCGATTTCAAACACCGAAATAACTACACGAGATCTGATTAAAATAATGTCGGCGAAGCAATGACTACCATTTCTTGTTCGAAACATGTTTGAGAAAATCGAAAGAGAGGATTCAACGCCGAACTCCATAGAATTACCTACCTATGTAAGGCCGACAATCACAAAAATAAAACAGGATATTTGGCCGCTGGAGACGCGATTTTGCCTGCGCATAACGCATAACTAGGTATATTACAATCCGTAAGTGCATATGCCACTGATTTACATTCTGTACGCGCGTATGGCACTCGAAGTTTAATTGGTTTAAATTTTAAATCTGCCCAATGGGATTGTGCTAGGTGCCATATACATTTACGGAATGACTAAATGCTTCCCGGGGAGACGTACCTAAGTATCCCACCGCAATAATTCAACCTATAGGCGCATGCCGACCTCAATTATTAGTTTGGGCTACTATAGCGATATTTCCTCGCTGATTATATTTTGTCAGAGAGCGACGTGATATTGAAATATCCTTGTATATTATAATGCAGTGTTTCAAGTTAGAATAAAAATACTATAATTTTATTTTTCTACGAACGTGCGGGAAATGGATCTTGCCGCACTATTTGCTGTGCGAGAAGCCTTTCTTCCCGCACTAGAAGAGTTTTGGTGCGGGAACAGTTTGAAATAATTATTTTGACATCGAATTGTTTGTATTGTTAATACACCTTCACCTTTACCTTTACCTTTTTTTTGTAAATACTGGATAATACATTTTCAATTTTACCTTATGCACAATCGCAGTTTATTTGAATTAAACTTTTCGTAATATCACCTTTAGTATGCTCGTAGAAAAAATATAGTTCCATCCCAACACTTGCGGGAAGAAATTTCCGGTACTCGGGCGCTTCGAACCCTCGTGTCGGAAATTTCTCTGCCCGTACTCGTTAGGAAAATAGCTATTATTTCTTCCTGAAATTTAAAGTTTAGACGTTACATTATAGACCGTCAGCTAATGACAAATTTTGCTGCCCGATTTTCTCTCTTCGAGGATTTCAACCACTGAAAATTATGTCAGTGCTGAGCTCAAAAAATGAAAGACAAATTGAAAAAATAACTTATTTTCTTTTGCAACAGGGAAATAAATTTTCCATATGCCTAGCAGACGTGCGGTCGCTAAATTTTCATTTTTTCAGCTCAGCACTGACACAATTTTCAGTGGTTGAAATCCCCGAAGAGAAAAAATCGGTCAGCAAAATCTGTCATTAGCTGACAGTCTATTATATTTTCACTTTAGGATCGGATTTCCAATAAAAGTCCGACCCGACAATATGCTCAAGTATAAATGTTTTGACCGCACGCATTTTTAATGGAAAAGTTCAAGTACTAGTGGAGTGGAGTTCAATTGAACTACATTATTTGAATTTGAGTTCTAAAACCGGACCTCACTGGGATATCGCCTATTAGGCGATTGGCGATTCAAATCAGCTGATAATTCAAGATGCCAGCAGACGAGGCAGTCAGAAATATGTAAAGAGACATTGGGTGGTATGGATGAAAACGAAGTACTTGCTACTACTACAAGTATTAGTATGTTCTACGTAGTATTTACTTCAAAATGAAGTAGATACTACATTTTGAAACTACTGAAAATTAGTAAATGCTTCTTTGTGAAGTAAATACTGCGAAGAATATACTAATACTTGTAGTAGTAGCATGTACTTCGTTTTTATTTATACCACCCAGTGCCTCCATATATAAATATGTGTTATTTCTACCTGTTTCAGAGTTTAATTCGATGAATTTTTATGTATTTACTAGCTGACCCGGCGAACTTCGTACCGCCTCTGAATTATTAAATATACCTATTAAATGTTGTGTTAACGTATCTATAAGCTGAATTACATTCAGTTTTTTTCGATGGTGAATTTGGCTTTGGTTGAAGAAAATTAATGTCTACT